CTGCTTTCAGGAATCGTGGGAATGGGTGGGTGGTGGTTCGGGTGAGAAAGATGAGACGGACGAAATGAAGACAGAAGAGAATGAAAGATTATCTGTGGAATATTACTGCCTGAGCATTTGCCTAAGTGATCCAAGGAAAGCACAGAAAAACTTGGACCAAGGCAGACGGACCCGGAATCGAATCGGCGTCCTCCCGAATGCTAAGCAATGGTCTAAACCTCTAGGCCATGCCGCTCGGTCTTTGCACCCACCCATCCATCGCTTTATCTACCAGGCGAATTTCTTGCTACCTGACAACTGCACACTACACCCACATCATACGATGTACAACAACTATAACAAGACATTTCTTTACAAATATTTTCAAGCATCCGAGTATGGTCCGCAAAAACATTTACAATGGTCCTGTGACAACCCTTTTAAAGTCCTTAGAAGAAACGAACACTCATTCAGCGTGCAGCTTCCCAATCAGAGCAATACAGTCTCCATCGAATAACTCAAACCAGTATATGTAATGTAAATGAAAAGCATCTTCAAACATCCGTCACAGAGACAAAAACCGACGATTCGCCACCATATACAACAACCCCATCCGATCGTCAAATGCACTTTCCCAAATATTTCTTGATAAATTGATCAACATCGTTCAACACGGTCCTCTCAAAATATTCCGTACAGATATTTCGAATTTAAAATCCACATGTAATCATTTTTACAAGCACCGATAACCACGGCACAGTGTAAATGAACTAGGTCAGAGGTACGCACACCCGCCGCACCAACGCACGCAAGTATGGGTTCTTTTCAGAATAAGTGATTTTTTGTTAGTTTATATCATGACGACATATATAACTTTGTCTACCGATTATTGTGGAAGAGAAATTAAAACTAAATTAAAAAAAACAAACGAGCGAAACAAAATAATGACAAGATATATGATTACATAACTTCATATACCACGTAAATGTTTCTTCATGGTTCCGCAAGGTGACAATACTGTGTTAGCGTGTATACCGAAATATGCACTACATCTTAGAGAAACGGAATCAGACATTAATATGTGTAATACTTTCTACGTTTCTGACAGGCATCTGTAACTTACTAGGTAAGGGGTGTTGTTTACCACCGATAAACAATTAAAAGATTTTTAACTTCAGTTTTCATTTTCAATCGCGTGGTGAAACCTAATGATGATACCACAGCATTTTGCAGAAGATCCTTGAAGATTTTAAGTTTCAACTTTTAATAGAAAAAAAGCTGCGTAAAATTATAATAACAATAATCTTTAAACTTCAAGGAACATATAGATAATAGTAAGTATTGGAATATTTGAAACAGTGGCTAACAAAAATGTATCTGCCTAAGTGTATAGCACTTATGTATATTAGTATCTACATTTGTTATTCATTTGATAATCACAATTATTTAGTCTTGTAAAAATATTTATTCTTTATATATCTTTTTTAAGTAAATTTTTCTTTCAAATTCTCATAATATAAAAGATCTTCTAACTTTAAGGATGGTTTTAAAGAACCTATGGCGTTTTTGAAATCATCCATCTCAACGACTACATTTTTTNACCAGTGTTGGGAAACATAAACTGTATATATTAAAATAAAAAATAGTATATCTCCCAAATTAATCAAACCATTTTCTTTTTCCGTTATATAACGACGTACGGCTGACATCCAAGCAGAAGAAACGAGTCCGTACAAATCTGCCCCTGTTACATTTGCTGGGCACATACGAAGTACTTCTTCTAAACAAACAGTTTTCGAAAAATAAAATCTAAAAACACAAAAGCGTGTCAACAGTTTTTAAAAAATATAAAAATAATCATACTTTCGTGTTAAAGCTTTTAAGACACTAAGCTGCGATTCATTATCGGAGCAAGGACCGACATACAGAAGTTTATCAAATCTGCCTGGTCGCAATAATGCAGGATCAATTAAATCGGGACGATTTGTTGCACCTATAAGAAAACTGATGTAGAAATTGATATATATATCTCAAAATAAAGTAAACCCGTAAAACTTTCAGATAATTTAAAATAGTCGTAGTGAAGAAACAGCAAATAAATTTACAACAGTGTGGTGCATGCTGATATAATTAAACACAAACTTTTGGGAAATTAATGATTCGCCAATTAATAATGCAGCGTTGTTTTAATCAACTGGAGCAAGCATTTGCTTGCTAAAAATTGGGATCAACTTTATTCGAAATAATGATTTTTAAAAATGAAATTTGACAATCTGTTTTTGGTTTTATATCTGGCCAGTGTTTACAATGCGTCTACATAACAACATATCTGAGAGCGCAGCAGCGCAGAGACGACAGTGAAGGATTAAGCCTGTATAAAATAAGGGCAAAAGGCCGCTGGTGTTAAAACAGCACATTTACAAAAACAACTTTTCATAATTTGTTGTGGTCAAAGGAAATAATGCTAGTCCATAGCGAGCAGTAAAAAAAATAACACAAAAGAAACGCAAGAACGGCGAAATTGCAACACGAGAAAAAAAATGGTCCGCGAACAAAAAAAAACAAAATAAAGTATGTACTTAAATTGAATGAGAAAGAAAGGACTGTAATAATAGTGGACTGATAACAATAAATATCCAATAAATATACTTTCTTTGGTAATCAATACAAAACTATTCCAAATAGTCGAATTATATGAACAGATCGAACACAATATCAGGAGATTCCTAAGTAAATGTTATGGTGTTGTCAACTTGCAAAGCAATGTATGTATAGTATATAGGGGTGGTGGTCATCTCTCACTATTACTGCTACGTTTTTCTATTGAACACTGGATGGTATACCATTTCTATTTTACTTAATAGACATTATTAATTTTTTAATTTAACTTTACAAAACTTTTTTCACAAGTAAACTATGATTGGCAGATATTTATCTTTCTATCACATTAACAGTGTACAAAAACTGATAAAATTTACGATCCTAATACATATTTTTATACATTCAGAAATTTACCAAATTTAAAGGCATGTTACTTACCAATCACAAATACAAATCCTCTCCGATCAAGGTCATCCATTTCGGCAAGTAGTTGAGAAACAATACGATCCATTACACCTCCAGAATCCCCTGAATTACCCCGATTAGGTGCTAATGAGTCCAATTCGTCGAAGAAAATAATACAAGGGGATGCTTCACGAGCCTTTTCAAATACTTCACATGAAAATTTTAATATAAAGCATAAAAAAGGTATATTGTACATACACTGCACTTTTAATGATTTTGCAACAGTTAAAGAAACTAATTTGATAACACGAGCAGAAAACTTCTACGATAAGCTACAAGATTCTATAATTAATTCTATTAGTATTATATATTTTTCTAGAATCACTGATCTGTTTGCAATTTAATATACCAAATTGTACTTTTTCATTTGTAAAATACATTTCAATGAAAGTGGAAAAATGTCTATATGAATTAAAAAATGAAAAAGGAAGAATCACCCCTAATTACCACAAAAAACTTTTTTGAGCGGACACGTGTTTCGCCCACTTCATACGTTGCCATTATCAGTCTCGAGTTGATAAAAGTTAAAAAAAGTTTTTTGTGGTAATTAGGGGTGTCTTCCTTTTTCATTTTTTTAATTAATATTAACCACAGTCTCCTCTTTCTACTTTGTCTATATGTTAATACATATTTCTACTGTAAACTATAAACGAAAACAGTTTCCAAAATCTGGTGCATTCTGATCTTTTTTTCGCGAGAAATAATAACAAATATCATATCCTATTTTATGTGAGATTATTTACGCTTAAAAATGATTAAAATAAGCCAAAAACAAAAGGAGATTTAACTACAGCTTTCATTCTTAAATATTTCTTAAAAAGGGGGGGTATACTGTTCATGAAACATTCAAAGTGAAACATGATATATAGCAAGTTGTCTATAAGTAATAAGTGGGGCTGCAGATAAATATTGCTCAAATTTTTCTTTACCTAGTGAACATTGCTACTTAGGGTAGAAGTATATGTTTAAAGATGAAGAAAAACCTTTTTAAATATAAATTAACTACGGAGTATTTGAAATTATATATGTATAGATAATTTGAACATAATTAGGCAGCAATGTGAATGATTTAATGGTTACAACCATGCTTACAACACATTCCTGTATGCGTAAGGACCCGGATTTAAAATCAATCAGTGGAATAATTTTTTTTTCTTTTAGTTTAGCTTTTAGCCATTCATTCATAGGAATATCTTAAGGGGGGGAGGAAGGAAGGACTGCTTTTTTGGTCAGGTTCTCGGATGTAGCCATAGGCGTCAGCAGAACTACACCTTACACTCAAAAGCACCGCCACCTTAGAATATGGGGGGAAAAAAACTAATGATTCAAGATTGATATTTTACAAATAACCAGTGTTGGAATCAAACATCTAAACAAGACTTAAAAGACAATTACAAAAATATAGACTATTATGTTTTTCTTAAGACATATTTTACTAATAACCTGAGAAATTCATATTTTGAACTTGTTTGTGTGAATTACCTTCGCGAATATTCTGTTCAGATTGCCCCACATACATATTCAGTAATTCAGGCCCCTTGACTGAGAGAAAGCATAATTTACACTCATTTGCTACCGCTTTAGCGAGTAACGTTTTACCAGTACCTGGTGGACCATAAAGAAGTATGCCTAAAACAACGCAACACAAGAAAGTTTCTTAAAATATAAAAAAAAAAATTATTACTAACCAGACCTTGTTAGATTTGAATTTTGAAATAACTTCAAAAATTTTAATGGAAAATTAATAGTTTTTATAACTTCTGTTTTAACTTCCTCTAGACCTCCTATATCTGACCAATTCACTTTAGGTATGTCAGGAGTACCCATCTGTTTACTGTAATTTTTTTGCATGAACTCTAAAAAATATTGCATTTAGAAAAGTATATGCACTTTTTTGTACATTTTACTTAATGTTTCTTCCAACATATCATCAGTAACTGTGTCAGTTACACTTAATTTTCGTCTTGCATGCAGTACCAACATTTTCAAATCATCAAATAAAAATCCTTGTGTTTTCATTCCAATATTTTCAATATTACAATTATGCGTCACATTATTATATTGTAAAATCCACTTTAAATTTAGTTCTCTTTCTTTTTGTTTAAGACTTGAAATTTCAAATGTTTCCAAAAAAAATCTTGATAATACGGCCGGTAGCCTTTTATCTTCACAAATACAAAGCAGAATAACAGGTAAACTTTGATTCAGAAACAAACTGTTTGCTTCATATTTAAAATAGTCTATAATACGTTTGTCAAATTCTCCTTCATTATTTTTTCCAAAGTTCTAAAAGATTATAACGTAAAATTTACAAAAGTAAAATTATTTTACTATTACTTCAAAATGGTCAATAGCCAAAATGCAAGGTGCTGTAGCTTTTGCTTTAAAAAAAGTATTTCTAATTTTTGTTTCAGTTTGACTGTAGATGTTTGCTGTTAAATCGGAATTGTTGATTTTGTACAGATGTAATCCAAGACGTACAGACAACGATGATGTAATCACTTCAACTCCTGATCCAGTCTTTCCAATCAGTAAAAACGTTGGATGAATTTGGGAAGAGCCTATGTATATAATTAATATATTTCATTACAGTTGAAATACATGTGACATATATGCATACTAACATTTTCCTTCTAAAAAGGGTCGCATTGCTTTCTCTATTTTTAGCATATTTTCTTCCAATCCGTATGGGCAACATTGTATCAGACTTTCATTAATTTTACAATCTGTACCAATATCCACACATTTTATATTATTTTGTATTGGTATGAAACATTGAACATTTGAACTTAATTTAAGATTGGTTTCACCATTTACACAGAATGCTAAATTTTTTATAGAACTGTTATTTTCTAAATGTACCGCATTACATTTAAAATACACAACACTAATACAATTGATTTTAGAATTGGTATAAAAACTTTCTGCTCCATACTCAGAAATGTTAATAACTAACACATCATTTTCCTTTACAAGTCTGAGTGTTTTAAAATAATTATTTAATAAACAATCAATGGTTGCATTGTTTAGGTCATAGGGACTACTGACTAAAGACACATCAACTTCAACTGCAATTGGAATATCTTTAACATATGCCTTTTTTACCTTAAAAAAGTCTTCACTTGTAATATTTTTTAAGTTGTTATAAAAAAAATCATTCACATAGATAATATTACTTTTCATCGGATAAGGCACACTGAGAACTACTCGACTTACTTTTCTGTTATACAGTTTTACACATTTGGTTAAAACGTGAACACAATTTTCACTAATTAATAAACAATTATTAATATCAGTATATTCAATTTTAATTTTTTTTAAATAAAAATAAAACGAATCATACGGAATTGGCACAACTTTGTACGATTTATTTTCCTTAACAACTTTATTATAAACTAATAGCATGTAGAAAGGAAAATAGAAGGACTCGTACTTTTGAAATAGCAGTGACGATATAAAGAACAGTAATTTTACTTTGATCCACATTTTTCATTTTTTGACGATAGACTAAACCAAAACAAACGCAATTAGTGCTATTAACACTTCAATTTTAAATATTTACCATTATTTAAAGGGTTATGTCCATAGACAAGGTCGTTTAGTGCATAGACATATATTAATCGACGTGTCTTAGCCGTATGTCATTGCAATAATTTCTTGGCTCGAAAAGTGAGGGAGATGGCGTATGGTTTCGGTCTATTGCTATCTCTTTCATGACACGCGTACGCACTATCGTGAGAGAGATGGATATTGTTCGAAACTTCGTTCCTTCTCTTTCTTTTGTTGTAGCACAATTCTGACCGCTAAGGCATGTCCATTAGTAAACGTCGATGGTTTAGTGGACATGCCTTAGCAGTCAGAATTGTGGTACAACAAAAGAAAGAGACGGAACGAAGTTTCTGACAAAATCCATCTCTCTCTCGATAGTGCATAAGCGTGTAATGCAAGAGATAGCACTAGTCCGAAACCATATGCCATCTCCCTCACTCTTTTCCAGCCAAGAAATTATTACAACGACATACGGCTAAGGCACGTCCATTATTATATATCTATGGTTTTAACCATATCCATAGATTAAAGAAATTCACTAATAATTCTAAGTATTATATTTCCAATCATCGACGTATACTGATGGACATGCCTTAGTGGTCAGAATTGTGGTACAACAAAAGAAAGAGACCGAACGAAGTTTCGGACAATATCCATCTTTCTCACGATAGTGCGTAAGCGTGTCATGAAAGAAAAAGCACTAGTCCGAAACCATACGCCATCTCCCTCACTCTTTTCTAGCCAAAAAAATATTACGACATACGGCTAAGACACGTCCATTATTATATGTCTATGTCTCCATTGGACCGTATCTATGATCTTAACCTTTTAACCTCTCATTGACTTCTCATATTATCTATGCTCAATCTATGCTTCTCACCATAGACAAAAGATTTATAAAACATTAGTTTCGGAAGTCATTGTAATTATTGCAAATATTTTTTTTTTAATATTATCAAACATTTTGAATATCCGTCAAAAAGGATAATGATAATCACTTTTTTATCTGTATATAATCATATAGAAGAACAAGTTAGTTAACAGATGGTGGTATGCGGTAGATACGCTATGATAATCGAGAATTTTGTATTAGTTTAGCTGGTTTAGCTCAATTTAGCTTAATTACTGTGGTAAAGTTGATAGTGGAAGCACAAGTAGAAGTGTTAACAAACCAGTAAACATGAGTTCCTCATATTTTATAAAAAGTGTTCGCCCTTATTTAGGTGAAGCTGAAGACTTACCTGAGGAATTACAACTTCGTTTTTTAAAATGTATAATTTTTTAAGACAAAAAAATAGTAATAGTTAATTCAAGCTTTTCAGTTGCCCTTCATGGTAATTACGCTAATAATTTTTCTGAAATAAAGAAATGCTTTTCTTCTTTGAAAATAACAACAAAAAGTAGCTTGTACAATTTATGTGGCACATTCATTGAACTTGTCAAACTTAGTCAGCGTTTGAAACCACGGGATTTTCAAGACACATTACAAGAATATGGAGTAGGTTTGAAATTCATTGAAAATATTTTAAAGACTGTACAAAGCTTATCAATGGAATGCACCATTCCAAATCAGAAAGGTGATATTTCTGACATTAAATGGAAGATAGATTTAAGTTTACTAGACAGGTTGAAAAAATATTCCTAAAATTAATGTAAAAATTGAAATTTGTGTTTTTCAGCAAGTTTGGTACAAGTGGTATAGTTATTCATTTTAGTATTCAGTTGACTGATGGAAGGAGAATTATATTTAGTATGGATCAAAAAAAATTTCATCTTTTAAGGTATAATATTACTTTAATAACAAAGCAGTTACTTAAATTACAGCAGTTAAATATTTCAAAGATAAAGTAATTTTAAAAAAAATATATTTTAGTAACAGAAATTCAATCAGTTTGATTTTATGTTTATTTTAGTATGTTACATATATTCATACACTTTAATTTTATATGTATTAAGTTAAAATAAATTTTAAGTTNTTTGCTATAAGACCTATACTTATTAAACCTAAAAAACAATTCACAGCCATTCATCATTTAAAATATTATTCATAACATTCTAGATAAATACTTATTGTACCTACATACAATGAAAAATTTAGGAAAACTGCATCGTCAAATGTTTTAACATGAAAAATATTAACTAAATTAACTATCACAGTTGAAACATCACATTTTAAGGATTTGTCACTACATATCCTACAGATTATTAAAATTGATATGATACAAAGTTCGTTTATAAATTTTTGGTGATTTTTATAAAAAATTGCATTTTATGAAATGCGCTTGTATACCTATATATGCATATCAGGATCACTGTTTTATTACAATTAAAAACTTATCAAATTGAGCGTCCCTTCTATGATGTGTACAAACCGAAATTTAAGTAATTTAAACACCAAGTGTAAACATCTTCTTCATTTGAACAGCACATCGGATAAACTATTACTGACTTTGTTCTTTTGGCACATAGTTGACATATTGCTTCCACTTTCCTCTATAACATAAAAAAATCATAAATTACCACCTAAATTCATAATTGGGCATTGTTTGTGTTTAAAAGGAAATTGGAGTCCCTGTAGGATTAGGTACTTCCTTTAGGGATGAACTTTGTAGTTTATGTATTTGCCTGCCTACTTATTACATATAAAAGACGTATTTGTCAGATAGGTACTATTAATTTAGTATGGTGATTATAGCGTCCAAAAATGTTTTCATTAAGATTTTAGTTGGGACAAGTATGATAATAGTAGTATTGAGACTGCATGTGCATCAGTAGTGTACTCCGGTAGGTATGTGATGCTGTCAAGCTTCAGTGCTAAGCATAATATGTTTTAGTAGGTGTATGAAAAATACTAATCAAACATTACAAATTATAATTCGAATGAAGGATAGGTAGGTACTGAATTTTTCATAAACAAGAGACAGATAAATGAGAGAGATAAACAATTAAAACAAACGATTAGAGTAATTTAAAGTTGAAAAAGTTACAAAAAAAGATTATAGGGAAGGGGTAATTTACCGGGCTTTCAGTATGGTCTATGGTATAGTGTGTCATCATTTTGGTGCAGAAGTTACCATTTTGAGGAAGTTAGACTTGCAGCTTGCAATTTTTATTGCAGATTATCATAAAAAAATTACAATCAATTTTTGCAGTCAACAAAAACTTTTGTCCACATTTTTAACAGAACCCTGGTGTAGACTAATTATTCATAGGCATCCGACATGTTTTTTATCGTTTGTACTGCTTTATACTCATCATAAAGTCGTCAGTCCTAAGACTGGTTGCACACGCACCTCCGCTCTTTCCTATCCTGAGCTAATTTTCGCATTTACCTAAAATTAGAACAACCCACATTCTCAACATTTTGCGAACAATAATCTAATCTATGTCTACCTCTACTCCTCTTAACTCCTGTTTCTGCCTTTAGTATGTCTCTGAGTAGACTTTCATGCCTGAGAATATGTCCTACCAATCTATCTCGCCATTTTTAATTGACTTCCATAGACTCCTTTCTTCTCCTATTCTTTCTAATACCTCTTCATTTCTAACCTTCTCTATCCACGTAATCCTCATCATTCTCCGGTAACACAATTTCGTACAGCGCGACGCTCCAAACATACACCATTAACAAATTAATCGTTCGCGAACGTAGAAGTGACTTCTTTTTATTAAAGGCGACTCGACCCCGCGCTATCTGTTACTTTATATCCCCACTACTCCTTCCGTCCTGACTTATCTGACTTCCTAGATACCTAAAATAAGCGACTTCTTCTAATTTTCGGTCTACTATCTTCATATTCGCTCTTTATTTACTTTTTTTTCCATTGCATACCAGTAGTTTTGTTTTACTTTTATTTATTTCCATACAATTCTGTTTTGTTAATACCGCTTTCATTTTATTGAAAGCTATCTCTGACTCCTTCTTGCTAAATACTAATACTGCTATATCATCTGCAAATCTAAGCATACTACTCTTTTGCCCCTGTATATCTATTCTTGCAGAATTAATATTAAAAAAATTCTGAGACATATGATAAAGTTAATGCTAATTCAAAATCTCATAAACACAAGAGTCATGTATTGCGTTCATATTGAATATTATACAATAGGAATACAAATCGTTTTGGCTATTAACCAGAGCAGTGGCGCAACTGATGAGACTGCAAGCCTTGTGGCACAAGGAGAGGAATGGACCTCGTGGGTCCCCGCTCAGGATAATATTGAATATCTGACTGTAGTTTTCATTTGGAATCAATTTTTTTAATAATGATGGTAAAAAATAAAGGTACATTACTCTTGAGAAAAATTTACATTTTTCAACAAACCTAGTATGACTACAAATCTGTTGAGACTGATATCTGATTATTTTATTTTGGGTTTTACGCCATGCAGAACTTTTTATGAAAACTAACCTTTTCAAAAAAAAAGTTTCCCATATGGTGCAGATTTAATTGGGCACACTATGTACAAAACAATTAGTTTTTATCGGGCAGTAATGCAAACACAATTCAAGATCTTTGTTGTTAGTTAATGCTTTAGCAATCTTCTACTGTACGCATCAACTATCTATTCCATTTCGCACGGCTAGTTCCGTTATTAAAACATTTTTTCTTATTTAACGTGTTTTATGATTTTAACAAAAAAAATATGATGCATGTGCACCATTCCCATGTTTTTTTACCTTATTCTGATCGCAAGTTTTGCTACAGATCTCAATAAACACATTTTTCTTTTCTTAAATGGATAGCCCTTAAAGGTTTTTATTTGCCTATCCCTAATACGTTAAATCGTCACTTACATTGCTTTCACATTCTTTAACCATGTCGGGATTTAAGGAGTTGTCATAAGGCTGTGGTCGAGGTTTGGCAAAATCAGACTCAGCGTAGATTAGAAGAATAAAAATTACAGCAGCTTTCTGTAAAAAGAAAAATTGTACATTAATATAATTCAAAAATTAGAATGACATAATTTTCATGTTGTACTAATTACGTTTGCTATAAGACCTAAAAGAGGTAGGTATGTCTTTATAGGCATTTATTTCAGTTTCCACGTGGATCCCATACTTAGTGCAAAATTTTTTTTCGAAACATTCGGTTTGACTTTAAATTCATATCGTGCAAACTTAACGTTAATAACGGCCTTCGGGTATTACGTAAAAGCATTGCCGGCCCGTAGAGCGACGCTATAACCAGGTTCTACTGTATTTGTGGAATATATTTTGTAAAAAATGAGAATGACCGTACTTTGGTCTTCTTTGGCATTTTATTAAACACCAAAATTTGGAGGCGCTTTTTACAAGGTGATATTTATTAAAAAAATAAATAAATTACTATCATTCGTAAGCTGTATTTCAGTTAAAAATAGCCCAAAAGTTTCTTGCAACACTAAAGATACTTCAGGTGAGTTGCATAGACTAAAACTTTATTTAGAAAGCACTTTTAGTACCTACAGTAGTCTAATGCCTATACCAAACCATTTCATACAGATCAGTGGATAATTATTGTGTTATAATGCAGCGCTTCTTAAACTGTGTTCCATGGAAATCACTGAAGGATTTCGTGAAACTCTTTTTCTAAGAAATTTAAGGCAAAACAAAACAATAAAAATTGGAATGAAAAATGTATAGGTATATGAAAAAGTAATACCATTTGTTTCTTCAAAATTTAAAATTTGAAATACCATTACACGTTATTTTTAAGTTACCTGAAACCCATATGAACCAATTTTGTATAAATAGAATGTAAATATTTCAATATAAATTAGTCTAACACAATGCTCACTCTTCATTGGATGCTACAATAGTGTCAACCATCCGATGCTGCAATAGTGTTAATTCAACATAGATGCACAAATGTGTCCAACGACGTTATAAAACCTTTTTTTTTTTTCAGGACCACAATTTTCGCCTGTTTCATTAAACGACTACACCTCCCAAGCTACACTATTTAGTAAAATCGGAAGATGTCCCTTTTCGGAAGTTCAGTCGAAAATATATAAGGATTGGGATTGTAATAGAATAGCCATGAAAAATCAAAGATGCACATTAAAAGGCGAAGCATGTAAGAAAATGTGCGAATATATGAGAGTTATTGAGGCTAAAATTAGGAAGAATTAAGGTTACTTTTAATAGTGTGGCTTGGAAAACAAGATTGTTGAAATGAACTGTTACGAGGGTTCTACCTTCAACTTTTGCTGTTTGTGCCGTTTTTACATTTCAATACAAAGCGGTATTTGTTTCCATAATTTTGTATTTAAAATATGCGCATCGCCCCCTTATGACGAAGGTTGCACTACTCGCATCGCAATAGGACCCCCTTCTACATAAAAGTTATTATATTATGTTTCCCATTCCACAATTTGTAGATTGAAGAGAAGTTGAAATAAACTTTACGACAAACCATCTCCTTAATAAGATATTCTGTTTAATTAACAGTTTTGATGTTCTTTTGGCACGTTATACTTTAGATACTTGGCGAATGCGAGGTACGCCGAAAAAAGAGTAAGATTTCGTCAGTCAAAAAATAGCGATACATGCTATATTACGTTACAGCCATGCATACAGCGTATAATATAATGTAATATTGTAGCGAGCACGAGTGTGTTTGTGTGCGATCGGGCACACGTGTGGGTGAACGGCTTATCGGTTCGCCGACTAGCCGCGGGCGCCTTTTTTGATGTGCACCGTATTTGTAAATGTGTGTCGTACCTGCGTTCTGGGAAAGTAGTTAAACAGTTCAAAGAAAAAATAAACTATTCGGATGTTTCCAGAAGGTTCCAGAAAGTAAACAAAAGAGTATTTAAAGGAAGAGACCGTTGCAGAAGTGAATCCAGAAATAAATTGACAGTGATGACTGTGAAGTAAATAGCGCAGTGAATAGTAATATATCAACAGTAGTGTAAATAAATAGAATAATTCATAACTTAAGTTTAGTAATAATTTAATAGTGTTTTTAAGTTCTTTAAGAAATAATTGGTGTAAATAAATAGTTTTTGTCGTTATCAGTCTTAGAGGTTAATTTTGTTAAACCCACGAACATTACAATATGTTATATTTTATTTAATTAATTTATAATGTAATTTTTTTTATTATTATTGTTAATTTATTTTTTTTTGTGTCTGTTATTTAATACATAATATATAGTAAAAGGAACTTCGTTCCAACCAGGTGTCCCACGGCACCTTTTTTACTTTTTTGTTTCTCCATATAATTTGCAGTACCTACATGTAATGATATATTATCATTAGCTTAAAATGTAATACTTGTATGTTATTTTAAAGGAATTTTATGCCAGTTGAGTCAATAAAATAAAAAATAAGAATCTTATCTTATACTGTAAATACGGATATATCTGTATGTCACAAATCTTGAAAAGTAGTGCAATATAAATAATTTATTTTAGTTTACGATTAATTCATTATGTGCTATACACACACGCATTTATAATTAACAAAATTTAGGTCACATAAGATATGTGATCTGATTGAAATAAAAATATAAAAATGACCTTCAAGTAGCAATTTATAATACTCATGGGTTTACTCGTTTACTATCTATTTCGTAACAAGTTTTAAATTTAAGAAAAAAAAAAGTAGCGGAATCGGTATTACATAATCTAAAATCAACTGCTTCCCTATATTGGACGTTACTAGGTAGGTACACTGATCGAGTCGTAAACAGCAAAAATTTGTTTTGATGTAGTCGTTTATCTCAAGTTTAAAAAACTACCGAATATATACATGAGAATGAAATAATCACAATTCTTCCTTAAGTGGAAACGGCCAAGTAAACATTTTCCATATTAAATCATAAGATAAAAGCAAATACATGCCAATTAGCGACTTTGTTGTAAAGTTTTACCTACGTTATCTATGTGTTTACTTTTTTTACTAGTGCAATACCCCTTATATCATTAGGAGTAACTACAGTGCGAGACAAATTCTACAAGCGTTTGTCGTTTATACTTATGTTATTAGCTAGGGTTACTAACATTTTTGTTATTAAGATTTTCAGTAGAATAAAGTGTTGTACACTGAAGCGAAATTCAGGACATGTTTGTACTGTTTATAGACAGAACAATGCAAGGACCAAAAATTAGAAGAAGTGGCTAATTTTAGGTGTCTAGGAAGTCAGGATGGAAGAAGTAGTAGGGATACTCGCGAGCGGTTAATTTAGAAATTCGAAAAAAGATTGTTAAAGGTGTATGTTTGGAGCACGGCGCTGTACGGGTACGAAACATGGACAGTGGGTGCGGCGGAAAAGAAAAGGTTAGAAGAGTTCGCAATGTGCTATTATAGGCGAATGATGAGGATAACGTGGATAGAAAAGGTAAGAAATGAAGAGGTGTTAGAAAGAGTAGGAGAACAGTGGACTCTATGGAAGTCAATAGGAAATAGGCGAGATAGATTAGTAGGACACCTTCTCAGGCATGAACGTTTAGTCAGAAACATATTAGAGGCAGAAACGGGAGTTAGGAGGGGTAGAGGTAGACCTAGATTAGATTACTGTTCGCAAATAGTTAAGGATGTGGGATGTTCTAGTTTTAGAGAGATGCGAAGATTAGCTCAGGATAAGAAAGAGTGAAGGTGCGTGTCCAACCAGTTTTAGGACTGACGACCTTATGACAATGATGAGACATAAGCGATTATACATAATGGCTGGACATTATCTGCTTGTATTAACTAAATTGTGTAAAATTTTGATAAATTAATTACCTACCTGCTTTATATCGATACTATTTATAATAATAATGAATATAGTCGAATGTCGCATAAAGTTAAAAGACGACGACATTACTTAACAAAAGCAGCAACCATAATTGACTTAATCCCCAAACAAAGTTGTGGTTACCTCTTTCTTAATTTTATTCAACTTTTAAGTAGGATATATTTTTCTTAACTCTACCTATTCCTTTAATATAAAATAAACTATAATTTATTGTGTTTTATTACTTTAGCCTAGTCTTACTAGGTATTTCGTAAAATCACTAGATTCTAGATTACTTTATTAATTCTGTCCCGATCCCTAAATTATTTTTTCTAAATTGAGAAGATAGTACCTACACATAATATCTACATTATTTACTTTGACTGTAAAGTAATATTATCTACTTTTACTCGTAAAATATAATTGGTTGTTAATATAAGAGCAACTGAAAATGTTTAATTGCTTTTACTTTTACACTGTGGTAAAATTCAGGACATTTTGCGCATTGCAGAGGGTCTTAACATAGCACAGGACAACAAACAATAAAAGGAGGGCGTCCTTCGCAATGCAGGACGATCGGCGACCGTAACTATGGTCATACACGTAAGTTCCTGTATCGTACAACAATTGAGTTTATAAGTTACTCCCCAATAGTCTGGTTGCAATTAGTGAATGTTGAGAATTTTTATTGAGAAAGAATCTATATCAAAGCAGGGGAGATGGGGGAGAGGGAGGCAAAGGCCAGCTTGCACCTACATGTAAATCAAAAGAATTAAACTTAGTTGTTTTAGTGAATATAATATAAAACGAACGTCAATCATCATAACATGAAGTAGACACCGTAAACCTAATGTAAATAACATTTATAATCGTTCATCGATTAATATATGTATGTAGGTTATTTATTGCTATTAATCAATATATGTACCGCATTCTAATATTCATCCAGCTCGACATCACAGCGAGCAAAAAAAAGTTAGGCTGTACCTACATTTCGCAGGATACTAAGTAATATCCTTATATTCACTTAACATAACAACACACTAAACAAGTAACTTATTTTATAAACAAATGTGAATTAAAGGATGGACGTTTGAGAACTCGCATGTAACTGTTTCGTTATAGCCTTAGTAGGATTTTTGTTTTCGTTTTGACGTTTTTACTGTATTTTGCTTTTGTATTGAAAAAACAGTATATGTTGTATGAGAATAAAAGTAAAACAAAAATACTGGTATACGAGGGAAGAAAAAGTAGGAAAAGAGCGAATGTAAAGATAGGAGACGAAAGATTGGAAGAAGTAGCTGATTTTAAGTATCTAGAAAGTCAGATAATTCAGGACGGAAGGAGTGGTAGAGATATAAAGCAGTGGATAGCGCAGAGTCGAGTCGCCTTCAATAAAAAGAAGTCATTTCTACGCTCGCGAGCGGTTAATTTAGAAATTGGAAAAAGATTGTTAATGGTGTCAGACATGGTTTAGCGGTTTCGATCTCATTGGGTCTCGTCAGCACATCGAAGACAATTCCGACAGAACACAGACCAGCCCTACCTGCTGCCTTTAAACAGCGTTTTATGAATGACTACGAACAGCGTAATGATCGCCATCTGCAGAATATTCGACAAGGTCCAAAGAACTGTTTGGTTACGTGTCAATCACGTAGGGGTAGTTACACTATGGGTTCAGTTCGTCAATGTACATATGAACCTTGTCTAACATTTCTGAATCCCACAAAAGTAGCAATATTCTGCAGGTGACGTTCATTACGCCATTTTTAGTAATTCCCGAATAAAATTCTCCACCTACGTAAGTAAGCAGTAACATATTCATCAATAACTACAGGTATTGTAAATGAATTAAACAATTGAAAGTATATACTTTTGTTAACATTAGATATCATATTTAGGAATTAGTTTTTACTTTTTGCAACAAAATAATTATTATAATATCCATGTATCTACATACATATGTAAGAAAGGTTACACTATGAAATGTAGAAAAGTTAAGTGTCTGTTTATAACATTTATATATTTACAGTTAGTAAAATAAATTACGACTTGGTATAAAAATCAGGAATGTATATTTAGAATTTTTGTTCAAAATAAGGAACAGCAGTATATTAATACATTGTGTTTAATGACATAAACATATTGCACATGGCCGGGTTGTCCATTTCGTTATCGTAATTTTAATTGGTGAAAAGTTCTGCCTTTTTATTGAACTGTGGACTTGAGATAGTCATAATCCGGATTATTTATTCAACTGAGTTTATAATTAATAATATACGTAAATTTATTACTTACGGATAATTTTTCTAAAATATTTTGTGGAAGGGAGAATTTTTAACAGCGAAGGGTTTTTCTTGAAGAAATTTTTTTTGTAACAATCAATTTATAAATAAACAACTCGTTATTGTAGGAAGTTAGTTAGTTGAATTGTAAAGTTCATCATTGGGATCAGCTAACCAGGTCACGCAGACTGTTTTATTTTTTAGTTGGCACATTTGTTGATAAATCTTAATTGTTTAAGTTTCTGCATATTTTTTTGCAAAACTTCGCACTTTATCTGTATATTGTCAAAATTTATTTACATATTATGTTTTTGTGCACGGTAATAATTTTGATATGCACTTTTTCGTTATTTATTTTTTATACATCGTTATTGAAATCTTTTTTAATTGAGGAAATGGTAAGTTAATGCGAAGTAAACTGAACGCATTTAAAATTATCCCATTAATTCTAATTTTTGAATTTCTATATCTGTTTCTAAAATTCGATCAGATTTTTGAATGTTTGTTTCAAATGTGGTAGTTGTTTTGCAATATCTTTATAACACGTGTTATTCAACTTTGCCACATAATAAAAATACAAAATTTAGCAAATTTAAACATAAACAGTTCAATAGAAAGGCGCTTTTCTTATTTTCTGCGTTAGTAACGTCGATGACATATTATATCAAAGCTTTAAAACGAACCTTTCTTATTGTTAATATAATATAATCTTTATCCAGTTTCTAAATTGTGTGGATTGTAGAGAATTGTAAATGTTAAAAATGCAACTAACTTGTAATATAAAAACTCCATCAGATTGATATACCTTCGTATTTCTTCCGAAGTTGCAATATAAAAGTTTATAACCATTGTAGGTACGTAAAACTAAAACTAAATTTAAAAAATTTGTACTTGACTTACATTCAATTAACTTGAAAACTGAGAAAACGAAAAGTATTTTTCTGAAAATATTTCATAACATTTAAAAAAGAATTAAAGAGTTCAGTCTGTTTTAAAAAAATTAACTAAAACTTTGAAAAATTAGATTATTGCAGATGTTCATATTCTAAGAAACTAAAACTATCTTCTCAAAGCTGATACACGGTATAGATTCTTTAAAAATTAGGTTCACCACAAATTTTACAGAAGTCGTCGAAAAAAAGAAATGAACTAAGTAAACTTAGATCAGCATGCATAAACTAAAAAAAGTTACCTTAGAAATTATCGCCATGTCGATATCTAAACTTCAAGTTGGAAGAAATAAACGAAATTACCAAGAAATAAGGATTTCTAGCGTGCTTTACACTTTCAAACTCAAAACAACTGACAACTGGATTGGCTCGATACTGAATTTGTGTACATTTTATAGTGATATCACCCTTGTTACGTACGAATAAAGTTCGAATGATCACGCTTTAGGCTGTCTGCATACCAGTCTATCAGGAAGTAAATAAAATTAAAGAAACGCCAACATCGTTTACAACACTGATCGTTTTTTTCGTTTTTGTTATTTTGTGTTACTATCAACTCTTTACCTCGCGCATACCAACCGGTTGATTATGGTTTAATTAGTTTTAATTATAACTACATACAGCGTTCGATGTACTTTTAAAAATTTCCCTTCTTATGTAAACATTTGAAAACTATCAAAAGGACTTCGTAAATGAATAATGATAAAATTAGAGACATTCGCAAGGTAAACTAATTAGTTTGACCAATAAAACTTTCGAATGTAATCACTCTTATCTCTTTTCAGTTGCTAAAAAATATGTTTATTTTATGAAGAATTCGTATTTTGTAATAAGAAATGTTTGTTGTTCATGTGCCCCTTTCCAATATGTACATAAATAAAAAAATTCACATGTACACCTACAGCCTTCCTAATAGTAGGAGGTCAATTTTATCTGAACTCTGGGCAACCGTTCCACCGAATTGGAATTTAGATACAATACATATCTGACATTAAATTTTTTTCTACGCACGCACATAAATACATGTATTTGCATTAAGTTTATTCCTTATTTACTGTGATGATTTTTGAGCAACTTGGGTTGCCCATCTAAAAGCAATTATTTAGTGTTCTACAAAGTATTACCTAACCTTACATAACGTAACAAGATACATTTTAGAGTATTTTTTGTTACTTGTTTTACCAANCGTTTTTTTGGTTAGTCAGCGCTCTTTAAGTTCATAACATTCGCTTTTGCACTTTTTTGCAATGATCCTTAATAATTTTCCGTTCTCTTGACACCCACAATTTGACTAAATGTATTAATTATCATTTGTCGGTATCGTGCAGAATAGTTTATATTTCCTTTCAGAACACGTGTTCATTTTTATTATATGCAGCATTCCTATTTATATTAATATTGTTTTTGTAATCATTAATTTAAAAATGTACTATTTATAGCATTTTACAAACACAAAATAAGTTTGCAAAAGTATTTTAAATAAAATACAAAATGTTTTTCCCAAAAACGTATTTAAATGCTAGATCTACAAGGAATTAGAATTAATACATAATAATACTCTTAAATAAATATTATTTGTTGTTAAATAAACATTTAATGTATATAACTGCTCAAATATAACAAAAAAATTAATTTAGCTCTATAGTATAGTAAATATACATTATACTATAATATATGAGATGCCACTCACTGCTGACTGTATATATCGATATGCGCATGCGCGCTTTTCCATCGTCATAGCTCATCGCTTCGCGAAACAAAACGTTACAAAACGTGTTGTTTCATGGCCTTGAGATATTACTCTCATCGAACCCAAAAAAGTTTCACTTCAAAAAACATTTGAATATCGCCGCGATTTTTTGTATAACCCCATATTTTGTCATTCTAAGCTATTTTTTCCTATAACTTTTTTCGATTGGAACCATATTTCACATGGCTAGCATTTAAATAAAACCTTACTTTTGTATTTTTGAACACTCTGTAAAGGAAATCAAATTTGGATAAGACAGACGATCTTGTATTAAAATAGGGAACATGTTTTGTTTGCAAAATTTTTCAATTAAGCTTACAGTTTGGCCGCAATGAGCATATTTCGTACTTTTTAGACCACTTTATATGAAATAAATTAATTTAAAAATACTAGGAACCATAATTAATTGATTAATAAAGCTAGTTAGTATTGCGGTTGACAATAAACTCGTTATGAGGTACTTATATTGGATTGTTATGGTTGTCCATAAACTATATGCCTGTAAAAGAGGCTATTCTGAACGTGAACCATACCGAGCCGCTCAACTTGAACGTTTCTCAGCGGGTCGACCCATCGACCGATTTACCGCTCATTTCCTGCAGGATACAATAGTTCGGAACTTTGCGTGGTGCAACGGTCAGTATGTGGCAGAGAGGTGATACCTCTATATAAAAAATTGACGGTTTTTGAAGATTTTGCAAATTTTGCGCTCCTAATTTTTTGAGAGAACTTTTAACCGCATGGATAGTTCACATTAGCAGTAAAGAAAGACGTGGTTAAAACTTTATTTCTAATGGATCAATATAGCCAGAAAATCTGCTACGTATTGTTTACTATTTACATTTTTAATAATAAAATCTCATTTAGAAAAACGATCCGGAAAAAGCATTTTAAAAAAGTTAGGAAGCTTATTAGAAATAACAGTACAGGCCACTGAATCTACAGCTTTATTACCATCTGTATCTGCATGAGATAGAATTCACAAAAATTGGAGCTGAGCGTTACTAGAGACAATATCATTTACTACGTATCATGTTTTCATTCACTGAAAACTGTATTAAAATAGGACTAATATACTTTAAATACTACTACAAGCTTGAAATTAAATCTTTAATAGCCAATTAAACAGATAGAAATAACGGCAATTAACGAAATCCGGTTGCTACAACATTCTGCTTTACATCGTATTTAAATGTCTAAAAGCTTAATAGACACTAGCCTAAATGACTTCAAATAATAAAAGAACTAAAATGAATATTTCATTTCAATTGTTAAAAAGATTGTGTAGGGCCCAAGAATAAAACGTGGTAGGTTATGTGGGGAGCTTCAAATAGTGGCTGAAACAGAGCAGTGGTAGTACACTAGGGCTCCAAGCTTCCAGAGGGTCTCTCGTCCCAATAAATATAGAAAAACAAAAGTTTTAATTTCACATTTCGTAATGTAATATGTAATGCATGCGAGCTATTATAATTGCGAAAGAAATAATTAAGTATGCTACATGCTTAGACATGCTAATTGTTTAAGTACAACCAACGAAAATAACTAAATGCAAAATATGCATTTTTAAAATATTCTTTTCAAATAAATACTTTTTTGTAGTACCTATTTAAGTAATTTTCTATATTTACTTAAGTGTAAAATATTTTTTAAGAAAACCTTACACGCATTTGTTCATTCATTAAATATTAGAGTTTTTCTAGACTCATAGTGGTGTTTGCATTATATCACCAGTTGCGAAGATTAAGTATGATTCATATTTTTCTATTTAAAGTGATTGAAATATATTGTTTCTATGTTTTAGTTCATCCACAAATAATTCTTCTATATACTTCCTTATTTGCCTTTGTCATCCGTTTTAATTGGAAAAAAACACAGATACCAAAATAGTTTGTTTAACGTGAAAGATGAGAGCCAAGATAGGGTTGCAAATAACTTTATTGATGTAAAATCAACATCAATCATTTTATATCAAAATATTTACAACAATATTTGTTTCCGATCTTTTACAAATTGTAATAAGAGAAAGAAATAGAATCCATTTCTTTAACTTTGGGTTCATCTAATAAGTGATGTTTTTCGAATCGTTTTCTAAGAATTTTGTATTATACGCATTTATTAGCACAATATCTTGTAGTTTTCAGTTTTACAGAGCTGGCGTATATCAATTCGATATTGTTTTGCGGGCTGTTTTGTAATGGTTCATCGAATTTCGTAGTTCCTTCCTAAAGTTACGAAAAGTGGTGCTGATATCAATTTTCACTTCAAAATTCTATGGACAATTACACTGAATCCGAATCCAACATTATAGATTATCCATTTCCAAGGAGTTTTTTAGGAGCATTTTACAAACACAAAATAAGTTTGCAAAAGTATTTTAAATAAAATACAAAATGTTTTTCCCAAAAACGTATTTAAATGCTAGATAAAAATAGGTATTTTTTATTTTGTATTTGCATTTAAATGCAAGTATTTCAAATAAATCACATCTCTAATTCTAACATACTTTCATGGAAAAACCACAACGGTTAAATAAATTATTCTTTAATATTTGGCGTATGAATAATCTCCTGCAGGTGTAGAATCCTAAAAACGATTATAAATTCAGCCGACTAACCCATTAAGTTGTTAATTATTATGGTAAATTCAGCCAAAAGGATTTTATAGCTCTCAAGAATAAATTGTATATTCGACAGGTTTGCACACAGACAATTGCAGAAAATAAATGATACATTAGATATAACAACAGCGGTCAAGGCTTTTTCCCACTATACCACTGCTCTTGCAAACATAAACCTGCCTTTTGATAAGTTAGTTTTGAAGTTTTAGTGTAAAACTCTAAAATAATTTTAAAATTTTATACAGCTATATACATAATCTTAACTATAGGGTTGTTTGGAAAGTCATTTCGTTTTTTCCCAACAGAGGATTTAATTGTATTCTTTTGCACCCAACTTCACATTTAAGCCGTATAATTTTTATATGCTTTGAGAGCTCATACAGCAAGGCTTATGTGTGAAAAATTCCAATTAATTCTACGCAGTAGTTTTTGGTTGGTGCCCTTTTAAATATGGAGAGCGATAAGCAGCATTTTCGACATATCTTACTGTTTTACTACAGAAAGGGTAAAAATGCTGTTCAAGCCAGAAAGAAATTGACTGATGTGTATGGAGAAGGTGTGTTGACAGTACGCCAGTGCCAGAACTGGTTCGCTAAATTTCGATCCGGCAATTTTGATGTCGAAGATGCACCACGTTCGGAAAGGCCGGTTGAAGCTGATAAAGACGCGATAAAGGCATTAGTTGATGTGAACCGGCGAATAACAACACGTGAGATCGGATTGAGGTTAAATTTATCAAATTCAACAGTTTATGATCACTTGAAAGGCCTGGGATTATCCTCGAAGCTCGATGTATGGGTTCCCCATGTTCTCACAGAGAGAAATCTGTGTCGCCGCATTGACGTCTGCGATTCGCTTCTCAAACGTCACGAAAATGATCCGTTTTTGAAGCGCATCATCACTGGGGACGAAAAATGGGTTGTATACAACAACGGCAAACGCAAGAGGTCATGGAGCAAAAAAGATGAACCGGCTCAAACCATTTCCAAAGCCGATATTCACCAAAAAAAGGTGGTGCTGTCTGTTTGGTGGGATTTTAAAGGAATTGTTTTTTTTGAGCTTTTACCGGATAACACAACGATTAATTCGGAAATCTACTGTCATCAACTGGACAAACTGAATGATGCACTTCAACAGAAAAGGTCAGAACTAATCAACAGGAAAGGTGTAGTGTTTCACCAAGACAACGCGAGACCTCACACAAGTTTGGTCACTCGCCAA